ATATACCATAAAATGGAGGGAATACCTCCATCTGAACAAGATGAATGTAACCACACTTTTCTGAACCAAGCCACACTCTGTCCGGATACGTTTTGGTAATGTTAAGTTCAACCAAAACACGTGAAAGAGAGGGCATTGAGCCAACAGAGGTGGCATTGTCAACTTTTAATGGACCAAACATCGCACCCAAGGCATGGAGAATCCAAGGGGAGAAGAGAGGCGGGCGTACGTTTGGAAAAGATATCCATATGAGAAATAACATGAGACTAAACACTAATATCAAGAGAGGGAGACCATTTGGTTATCTTCATGTAATAACTATTAACAAAGTAAGATATGTGGTAGCATACTCTGCAATAATCCAAATCACTCATCAACTTAGTCAGAACATGCGACGGGTCAAGCAAAGTTACTAAAAAACTGGCAATTAGCTTCAGGTTTAAAGAAAAAAACCAACGGATGGAATCCAAGCTAGGTCGGCATGAAGGAAAAAAAAACAACCAATGAAAACTAGAAAGGAGCCACAAGCGCCCGAATCTCCTCTTTCAAGATTCACAATGAGGGTAAATCGCGAAAGGTAGACATTTTAAGCTCAGGAAAACAACTATTAGAGGAACCATAGATAGCATCTAAGAAAGAGCGGGATTTCAAAGACCCATCCAAAAAATTAGGATCCACATTCCGATTCGCCGCCATTCCGACCGCAAACTGTCAGAGGTGAATGAAACGAAAAAAACCAACCGAAAACACAAAAAACTCCAATAGAGAAAGAAAGGAAGACCTTCATGAAGCCAACAATGGCATCGGCTGCCAAAGTCGCCGGGAGAAACACAAGCACAACGGACGATCAAGAGGAAAACCCTAGCACTTTTCAGAGAGAGCTATGTCTTTTTTACCAACTCAACATTTTTTTAGGCACTATTATATGTAATGAATTTGGGTCATTTAATCTCTCATCCTTTTAGGCAGGGGTGTCAATTTCAGGTTGCGGGTCGAATTCGGAACTAACCCGACCTTATTTAGGTTGACCCGACTCGTTTTTTCAAACTGGTCAATTTCTTTAACCTGAATCCAACCCATTTGCGAAACAGATTGACTCTAACCCAAAATTTTTGAGCCAGCTTCGGGTCGTGTCAAATATTGACACCCCTACTTTTAGGAGAGGAATTATTTGGATTCCTCTCCATGACCTTCATACATCATTTCATTCATTCTCTAAGTTTTGCTTCTCTTACCACTGAGCCAATATTTTTTTTTTGGCTGATCATCACTCGAAAACATTTATACGGTATTGTATAAGCCCAAGCTATAAGCTATCATACTGCCACGTGTTATAAATGTCTTACCAGTCATTAATATATTGATCACCAAATTAAACTACCTTCATCGACTTATGAAAAAATGACCGTAAAAAAATATTTCCTTAATCTTATTCAACGTAATTTAATACTGCTTGTCGTTACTAATCTAATCATTTAAAATTAGTAATATATTAATTTAGTGTTTCTGTGGTTGTATTGTGGCTTTCACGTCCCTAATCAAAATTAGTGCTCTCAATCATATCTATACATTTTCTACGGAGAATTTTAATATCTTTAGTTCTATATTTTTATTTTTTATTTTTTAATCCATGCTGTTAATAGCACACGTGGAACGCACAGAAAAATTCTACAACAATATTATGGGAATACAAAATTTTCCATATATGAGAATATACAATAATGAAGAAAATCCTCAGCACGAGCAATTAATGTTTTCAAAGAAAAATAAGGCATGCTTTAAATAAATTTTAAATAAAATATTGCATTCTTTTTGTTTATATTGACTAAATAATTTTTATGCAGTTTTTTTTAATAATGATACTATTTTAAAAAAAAATATTTACCTTACAAAAAGAATCTAAATCCGATTTCAATTAAGATTTTTTTCATTATATATTCTTTATTATAATGGAGCCAAAAAAATGAAAGTAAAAAAATTAATTTTATTTTTAGAGAAGATTCAAAATGAATTTTTTCCATTAGAAAGATTAAATAATTGGAGTATATTAATATATATATATCTATTATTTATTAAAATTTAGGTGGTTTTATGTGCCTCTTTTGAATTCCATTATATTTTTCTGTTCAGGGAAGTTAAAAGGTCTCTTATCCATTGGTTAAAAGAGATGGTTGTAGGCCTAAGGTTATTATTTTGAATTACATATATTACAATTTTTTTTTATAAACTATTATATAGTATTTACACATATTACAATTTATTACTCATCATTCTTTAAAAGAACTAAGACTAAAAGTAAATATTGTGTGAAAAGGAGAGGTAAAATATTTTCATGTTGGTCTTGTCAAATTGTCCTCTTTGTACTACAATAAGGCAACAATAATTTCTCTTTGAAAAATAGGATGGGTTTGGAATAGCTTTTTAGTTGTTTTAGCTTTGAATGCAACCATAATAAAGAACTTACTCTCTCAACATAGCAATTTTATAATCAATTTTATAAAATATTGTAAACGTCTCAAAAAGACCAAGTCTTTTAGAAAATAGGATTTTTTTTCCTTATTTTTTATCAGAAGTAACTTGAGAGGCCTTACACTCCATATATTATAACTAAATTTAATTAGAGCTATCAATGAAAAAATGGGTCAACCCAGTAAATCGCACGGGTTGGGTCCAGGTTGAAATATTTGACCCACTTGCAAAAATGGGTCGGGTTCAAGTAGAATCAACTTGTGTAGGGTCAATTCTGGGTTCAACGCGAATCTGACCTGTGACCTGATTTTAATATCAAGCATGTGAAATTATCCATAATCAAAATTTCTGTGTCAATATCATTCATCATTCATCAATCAATGTATTAAGCTGCATATGGAGCTTTGACCACTTTTCCTTTCTCCTCCTTAATTATGTGCTTTGATTAATATATAGTAGATGAGATTGGAGAGGGCATATATATCTAAAACACTATAGAGCGCAACCCGACATTCACCACCATCAATCACCATAAGTTGTCATTGTCGTGCGACTACCGTCATTTGACCACTATCACCCAGTTGTTAGAATTATTTAACCACATGATCTTCTTAGTTCATTCACCGTCATCTAGGGGTGTCAAAATAGGTCAACGGGTCAGGTTCAGGTTTGACCCTAAATTGATCCAACCCGAATCCGGTCAACCTAAACAGTCACCCATTTAATAAAAGGGTCAAAGAGATGGACTCGAATTTTACCTGCTAGACTCAATAACCCAATTTTATTAAAAATATTTTTCATTAACTTTCTAACCATAGATTTTAAGTTAATTAATTAAAAATTAGAAGATTATACCAACTCATAAAAGAATATAAGAAAAAAAATAAACATGTCATTTTCACATCAAAATCGGTTTGGCGGTCAACCTGAACCTAAACCGTTTTATAAACAGGTTAGAATACACGACTCGAACCAAACCCATAAAATACACGACTTGAACTCAACCCAAATAAGGATTTTTCAAGCCGGGTCATTTATGGACACCCCTACTGCCATCTAACCACCACTCATTGTCTACATATTATCACCTAACCATTATTATCTAAATGCTATTGCCTAGCTTCCACCATTTGACCATCGAGTCTGTGCCATTGCATGTCTTCCATTGTTCATCTAAAGTAACATGAATTATATCATATAATTATCTCCCAAATGATCTTGTGTGATTATCTCCACCTTCCATTACTTTCTCTTTTAATCTCCACAACAAGCACAATATAATTATTTTCAACTCTATAATTTTGTCTCTCCAATTAAGAGATAGAGGAGATCATTCTAACTTCAATTATAATGTAGATTGTTTCAATTAGGTCAAATCTTATGATTTTTCCCTCAAATATAAATGTCTTCCATTACAATTTTCTTTTATGTGCATTTGCTAGATCTGATAAAAAACTAAAATTTTAATCTCTCATTCTATCATTAAAAAATTTTACGAAAGATAATGATTTTATCTGTAAATCTATATAATTTTCGAAGAAAAAAATTATATAAATTATAAAGATTAAACTTAAAAATTATTAAATCTAATTTCACATTGATGCTGCACTAATCTCAAATTAAATTCAATAATTTAAAAATTCATCTTAATATAACTCATTTTTTCTAAAATAATTTCAATTGTGTCTCGAACAACATGCCTAGCTTGCTTAATCTCTTCTCAATGAAACAAATACATGAAAGCAATCATCCATTCAATTCCTTTCAGTCATTTTCATATTCGATTCCTTCTCATTTTCTCTCGTTAAATTAATTCCTTCATAGCAAAGAGAGCTCATTTTCTTCATTAATAATATAACATTATAAACATAAATAAATAAATAAATACATATCTTATAAAAATATTCTTATGGGATTTTTAAAAGTAGAATTTATATTTGAATGCGTAATGTATGGATCCACCAACCAAAATCTATGACAGTGCTAAATTTACTTACAAAATATTCATGAAATAATTTCTCATTTAAGATTAAGATTTTATTTGGGACGATTTTCTTGCTGCTTTTTAAAATAGTTTTTTAGTATAAAAAATTTATTTGTTGTATTAGAGAGTTGCTTTAAGAAGCAGTAAAAAAGTCGTTCGTAATATTTCGTTTGGGACTACTTTTTTATTGCTTCTTAAAACAAAATTTTCGTACAAAAAAAAAAAAACCTAAAATTTATTTTGGGATAATTTTTTTACTATTTATAAAGCTGTTTAAGAAAAGTAATATTTAAAACTATAGTAAAAGTTAAAAAATAGCTTTTTTAATTAAAAAAATTTAATGATTAAATATAAATTATGATGATGATAAGAAAAGCAAAAAAAAAAAGAAACTTGAAAGGAGGTTAAAATAAGCCATGAAATTAAACTTAATTATTGCGAGATTCAATTAAGTTTATTGGACTTTCCAACAACCTTTCAACCACAATCTTTCCTTTCACCATCCCTAACGAATGAAAACAAAAATCACTTCCCCCCCCCCAAAAAAAAAGCCCAAAAAATGAATAATGATCCTTCCAACATTAAGAAAAAGAAAAGCAACAAAAAAAAAAATATTAACAAATAGACTTCCATGAATCTCCAAGGCCCAATCCCAAAGCCGCACGTGTTACCCAGATCTCTCTTCTGTGGCCCTCGTGAACCCGGTCGGCCCCGTACCGGTTTGGTTCGTCGCTCCGCACGCACCCAGGCAAGCCAATAACGCTCGCTCCAACCCAGCTACCACCTCCGTCATACTCGGCCGGTCCATTCCCACCGGACTGACGCAATCCGCCGCCAAATACCCGACATAAGTTACCGCCTCAATCTCACAAGGGGTTGGTGGCGGAAGCCGCCCATCGAGCACGCAGTGTACCTCATCCACCTCTATTCTCGGCACAGCGTGCTCTACCAAGTTCCTCGGCGTCCCACTCTCCGCGCTCCTTTCCACCGCCTTAGACCCCGTTAACAGCTCCAGCAGCACAACCCCAAAGCTATAAACATCGCTCTTCGCCGTTAAATGCCGAAGTCGATAGTACTCTGGGTCCATGTAACCCACAGTCCCCGCCGCAGCCGCAGCGGCACCATCCTCGTCCTCCTCCTCCACCTCCCCTTCTTTCGGGTTTAGAAGCGACAGTCCAAAGTCGGAGACTTTAGCGGTCCAGTCATCGTCCAGAAGTATGTTGGAAGACTTTATGTCGCGGTGGATTATAGTCGGGACGGCATAGGCGTGCAGGTACTCGATCCCCCGCGCTGCGTCGAGCGCGATACGGATTCGCCCAGCCCATGACTCGAGCGGCGACCCGGGAGGGCCGGGGAGGCGGAGGTGCGCGTCGAGGGTACCGCGTGTCATGAACTCGTAAACCAGGATGAGCTCCGCGCCCTCGCGGCAGAACCCGTATAGCCTGACTAAGTTCTTGTGGTTCACACGAGAGAGTAATGCGAGCTCCGCGAGGAACGCGGTTTCCATCTCCCGCCGGCGTAATGGGACGCTACGCGATGTTGAGGCTGTTGGGGTGCGCGCCGCCGCCGGCGGAGGCTTAGCGCGCTTGATGGCGACGATTCGCCCGTTGGGTAGAGTTGCGCGGTACACCGACCCGAAACCGCCTGACCCGATCTTGTGCTTTTCGGCGAAGCCCTCCGTTGCGGCGAGGAGGGCTTCTATTGTATACTCTTCGACCATAGGGCTGGGCCCTTTGGTGAATAGTCTCGATAGGCTTAGGTTGATGCCTGGGTCGGCAGCATTTGTAGCCGGTGGAACGCGGCCGGAATCGTGAACCCGGCCGCTTTGGTTTTTGGCGCGGATGATTAAGAAGCAGGCGGAGGCTAAACAGCCGATGCCGAATCCAACGGCACCAAGGAGGATGAAAAGGAGCTGTCTTCGGTTGGATGAATGCGTGGGGGAGATGGAGGCAGCTTGCTGCGCAGATGGTGGAGGAGGTTTCCGTGGTGGCGGAGATAGCGGTGGTGGAGGAGGTGGAAATGGCCGTGGGCAGGACTGGCAGATGGCCTCGCTGTGGCCGCAGGTGTTCCCGGAGCCGGGAAGGACTCCGCAGCGACAGGTTGAAATGGGAAGACAGCTCCCCGGTAGAACCTGATTAAAGACCACATGATTCTGGTGAAAAACATCGTTTCCCCAGCAAATAACAGAGTAGTTCTCCGTGAGAACGCCGCAGAACGCTCCGCCCCGTGCTTCCACTGACATGAATTGCGCTGTCTCGAAATCTGGCGGCAGCTCGGCGCCGGCTCCTAAACAGGACACTGTTCCATTGATCCTTATGGCGCAGGTCCGACCATCACCGAGAGCCAGCGAGCTAACCTCCGACACCGTGCCTTGCGGCGCTCCGGCGCCCCAACAGACAAGTTCGCCGGAGATAGATACCGCGCAGGCGTGCTGAGTCCCGGCGGCAATCGATGCAAATTCCCCTTTCGGCTCGTTACCAACGACTCCGCTGGCGTTGCTGCCAAAGCATCGAGCTATGCTGGAGTCATGGAGGCCGCAGACGAAGTCTCCACCGACGGATATGGCGGTGAAGCGAAGGTCGGAAGGTATGATAAGCTCCGGCCATCGCCAGCAATTGGGCTTGCCGGAGCCACCAATTAGGCCGCAGACGTGGAAGTCGCCGGACGCGAGGGCCGTCAAAGAGGGGCCTTTATAGACGCGCTTTGAGGGGGCAGGCGTTTGAGAGAAGTCCCACCACCGCATAGTGGAAATGGACTGGTTTGCCTGCTCTGAGCTGAGGGCGCAGAGGAAGCCATTGCCGGCAGCAACGGCGGAGTACAGGAAGCCTCCGGAAGAGCTGTATGTGTGGCGCTTGCCGCTCGGCAACGCCTTGCAATTGAGAGCATAAGGGCCCCCGTCACTGGAGGGTTGAAGTGCGCAGATTACGGTCTGGTTACCGACTTGGGATATGGCGATGGTTGAGAGGGGATACGAAGAAACGAATGAAACAGGGGAGAATAGGAGAGAGGAGATGAAGACAAGAAGATGAATTAGGAGAGGGAAAGGAGAAGACATTGAGAATGAGAAACGCTTGTTATTAGCTTTGAAAATATCATCGTAGCCAAGAGATGCGGAGAGCGAGAAGTGGGCGAAGAAGAGGAAGGAAGTTTGAAGAAGAGAGAAAGATGGAGCTTTGCTTATGTTTTCTTAATGGGTAATATTCGCTTTGGTTTGAGATTTCCGGTTTTTGTTTGGCCCTTTAGGGTTGAAGGGGTAGACGCGGAATGGAAGACCAAAGACTGGTTTTTTTTTTATTGTCTTTTTCTATTGTTTAGATCTCACTACCTTTAGGCCTTTAGCCATGGTGTCTGGTGATTTTGTCCAATAGAGGAGACTTTCGTAATATATACATTAATTTTCAATTAATTACATTTAAGCACCAGGATATATATATATATCGATCTAATGGTACAATTTGCAATTTTAAAATTTGCATTAATTGGTTCAGTAGTTGCCAAGCTAATTTTTTAGGGCAAATATTTTATATTAACGGCTAATAAAAACACTTTATTTTTAAATTTAGACAACACATCAAAATTTAATTAGTTTATATATATATATATATATATATTTTCAGGAGCATAACTACTCCTTTTTCAGGTGAGATGTCAAAAAGAATTGTGACAATAAAAGCTGTCAATTACTTTGCGTTACAATTTTTTACAAAATATTTTTGTGAAAAGACAAAATCAGAAGTTTTGTTTGGTGAGTTTTATTTATTTATCTATTTATTTATTTTTATACATGGTGAGTTTTATTTGGTGAGTTCTTCATGGCAATTGGAGATAAAATATTTTCCTTTTTTAAAACTTGAGTCTTAGCATACTTATTTAAGTTGCAATAAACCTTCTCACATTACACAACTCTCCTTGGCCTATTGGTTGAGAGCTTAGGCTCCCAACTAAGAGGTCCAGGGTTCGAGTCTATGTGTATGCGTTGTGTGTGTGAGTTTGCCTTAAACGGCCTAAATGTCCCAAAAAAAAAAAACCTTCTCACATTGCCCAACTTAAACCACCTCGTGTCAACACAAATTTTTCTGTATAATTTACTCTTATTTTCTTAATAACAAATTTTATGCTCTTCACTCATCTTATTTATCTGATATTTCAAAAACATCAGTGAATCTCCTAACCACGACATTTAAAAGCTGTCCCAAACAATTCTTATACTAAAAAACTGCTTTAAAAAGTAGTATAAAAGCTGTCTCATATGAAGACTTAGGCGGCATCAAATTGATGTACTAATGATAATTAAATAATTGACTCTATATATCATTATTGAAGTTCATTCCCCATCTCCAACAATCTACAATAAAACTCATTGGATAAAAGTAATCAGTTTCTTAATGATGGATCTTATACAATTATTATCCTTATAATTATGAAGATGTAATTAGTTCACCCCAACCTTCATTACCTTCACACTTCTCCATCCACTTCAGCATCCATCTTGTCAACGTCAACTTATTTAATTTTCATATTTAGCGAGCACCTAACGGTCATCTAGAAGCCTCATCTGTAAAAACGTTTTCTTAAACTTCGAGGATGAGAGACCTAAACTTAGAAAATCTCGAGAAACATTAATAGCAAACGTTTGACTTTTTTTTTTTTTTTTGCCAAAGAAGCCTATGCACAGCAAGTGGGAATCCTTCTTCAAAAATTTTCTGTTAAATTAAATAGTGTAGTACTACATGGGTGGGTTGAAAAAATATTGAAAATTATATGGGCTCACATAGCCAAAAAAAATTGGTCGGCTTAATTATTATATAAATATTTGAATAGAAAGATGAATAAAAAAAATACTATGAGTAATTATATGATGATCATGAACTAATTTAAAAATATATTGTTGAAATTATAATTTTTTGGAGATTCTAATGTAAATTAAATTACTCTAAAAAAACTGAAAAAAGAGAGTAAACTAACAAAATGTGTGTTTCATGGAATATTGTTGGGAAGAAGAGCATGCAATGAAAAAATAAGAAAAGAAATTGCTGTGAAGAATAAAGAACACCAGTATTTAACATGGGATAATTTGAAATTGGGAAAAAAATCACTGAGCCACATGAAATTCACTATGAAAATGAGAGAAATTGTATAGATCTTTTTATCTCTGACTCTCTCATTATATCTCTTCACTCTTCTTATCATTCTACACTCAGAGCTAACAAAGAAAAACTTTTCAACAACATACACAGACACAATCCTTAAGGTTAAACATGAAAAATAAGAAAGAGAACTGTCAAGCCTAACTCTCAGTGCCACAGAGCTTGGGTTTAGAGTGTTATAGCATTCCTCTCTCTCTCTCTCTCTCTCTCTCTCTCTCTCTCTCTCTCTCTCTCTAGACTGACTTTTGGCATTGGGGTTTGGAACGTCATAGTGCTCTACTCTCTATCTCCAACTAAAATATGCAACGCTGATGATCCAGTATATAGTGCCCACAAATCCAAAGCTGGGGGAGGCCTCGCTGCAACCCCTCAATAAGCTTGACCAATAAAATAGGGATTTGAGCCAACATAACAACTCAATCGATTGACACAATCAAATTCCACATAAAATTAATAAATATTTGAAATTAATATGATCAACAAGTGTTCATAAGAAGTACACAACTCCTGCAGCTTCAAAGAAAAATCTCTAAAATAGTTGATGCAGAGCCCTTGATATAATTTACATAAAGGTTGATAGGCATTTGTTCTTTAGTTTTGGAATCTTGACTGCAACAGCATTGCTATCTATTTTATCAAAATGTATGCAATTTGTCTTCTCATATTCATTTCTCTTTTGTCTTTCTCTGAAAAATATTCCTCTCCCAATGTGGACAGGCCTGCACAATTATTTGCCAAGGAGGCCTTATAATAATAATTGAATATCCTTAACCACTTTTGGTTGTTCCTGTCCACAAATTTCAAAATACAAAGTCAACGGTCTAGTCATAAACCTCTTTGTTGCCTAGTCAAAGGGCAGTTAGTTTGATTATTGTAGACTCGAAAGGCAACCACCACAAACAAAATATTCTCCTCTCTCTTTCTCTCATATATCAATTGGAGGTTTAAGTATTTTTTTATTTATTTATGATTTGAATTATGTAATGACAATTATAATTTTAGTGTGTAGAGTAGGGGTGTCAATTTCGGGTAACGGGTCGGGTTCGGGTCGGACCCGGAATTGACCCGGGTTCAAATGGATCGACCCTAACCCGACCCGGTTAGGTAAACCGGTAGGAAATGCGAACCGGACCCGACCCGACGGGTTGCCGGGTTGACCCGACCCGACCCGGGAAAGCTGGTCGAGCGGAGCGGTCGCGAAGCGGGGTCGGGCGCGGAGCTGTAGCACGGGGCGAGCGCGCGGAGTTGTCGCAACCCGTCAGGTCAAACCGAACCCTACCCGTTTTTCAAACGGGTCGATTTCTGGAACCCGAACCCAACCCACTTTGAAATTAGGTCAGGTCCAACCCGGATTTTCCGGGTCGGATTTTCGTGTCATGTCAAATATTGACACCCCTAGTGTAGAGGTCCAAATGGATTGAATTGAATTTAGGTCATTGATGATGCTTAAGATGTGGTTGATTATTAAATTATTATAAAATTTAAAAGTAATGTAACTTTTGTAATGAATATATTTCATTTGGGCTTTATTTGAGATAATTTTCTTACTGTTTTATTTTTCATATTTTAATCATAATTTCTGTTTGGTCATTATAGTTTTTGCTGCTTTTAAAAATTTTATACTAGAAAGATACTTTCTATAACATTTTTAAGAAGTTATTTTCTCTATAACAACTTTATAAAACTGTAAAAAAACAGTCCCAAATGGGACGGCTTTTTTATTGCTTCTTAAAACAACTTTCTAGTTTAAAAATTTAAATTTTTATACTAAGAAGCTGCTTTAAGCAGCAGTAAGAAAGCTGTCTCAAACGAAGCCTTCGTATCAAATATAGGATTTATTTGGAAAGACTATAGCAATTTTTAAAATTAGTTATGAAGTTGCCGTGGGGAAAGCAATCAAGAAGCAATAAACAAGCAAAATATTGATTGTTGTTTGAAAAACAAAGCAGCGAGAAAATTATCCCAAACTAACCCATAGTTTAAGAGTTTAATTAATAAGAGACTCATTTAGCTCCATCATTTGCACGCAATATATTTAATAAACTAACCAATACTTTATTTAATAGAATCAAGCTGGCAATAGGCTTCTATCGGATTAGTCTATTGTACCAATCCCAATGTTGAAAGAAGAGAACTGTTACCCTCTCCCAAATAATATTAATACTAATCGTATTATTAATATAATATATATCAATTAAAATGAGTAGAAAGACATTCATTTAATTAGTAATTATATCCATCTATCTAATCCAAAGCTAATATTGTTGTTATTTAAACAAATTTCTTTTGAGAGGAGAAAAGCATCTCTCATAAAAGAATTAGAACTCTAATATCCATTCATTACTATTAACAACCCACAATATTAAAGTTTCGTTTGGGACAATTTTCATATTGTTTATTAAAAACAACTTTCTAATACAAAAATTGTACTAAAAACTGATTTAGGCTTCGTTTGGGACGACTTTTTTATTGCTTTCTAAAATAGAGTTTTAGTATAAAAATAAAAAAATTTATACTAAAACTCCGTTTTAGAAAGCAATAAAAAAGCCGTCCCAAACGAACCCTTAATAAACAGTAAAAAAGCAGTTACAAATGAAACCTAAGGATTCGTTTGGGACGACTTTCTTATTGCTTCTTAAAATAAACTTTTAACTAAATTTTAATTTTTATACTAAAATCTATTTTAAGAAGTAGAAAAAAAGCCGTCCCAAACGAAGGCTAAGTCTTAATTTGAAATAATTTTTTTTATTGTTTTATAAAATTATTGTAGAAAAAATAATTTTTAAATTTTGTTGTAGAAAGTAACTTTCTAGTATAAAAATATTTAAAAACTATAACCAAACAGAAATTACAGTTACAATCTTAAAATCAAAATAATGTGAAAGTTAGCTCAAATAAAATCTAAGTAACTTTTTTTTAACCTAATTTATAATGCAATATAATAAGCATATATATATATATATATCCTTAGCTATCATAAGCAAAGTGGCTCTAGAAGCCTTCTTTATAAAAGGAATAAAAAAAAGGTGTGAAGGAGAATTCTTCGCTGTAGTTCTCCATTTGTATTTTTGTTCACATAGTTTTGTCTTCTTTCTTCTTCCAGTGTTGGCTGCTTCTCGGGGGGTTCGCGTGCAGTGGAGGAGAAGACGTGGAAGCCATTTGAAGCCAAGACGTGGGTGCAACTGCGATCTCTGGATCCTATATA